GAAAATGTTTAAAACTATTATTAATTTTATTATCGTTACCGTAGGAGAATCTCCTCGGTGTGTTATGGATTTGTAAATTACCTGTTGTCGGCATATTGGATTCACAGCGTTCAGGTTATGTTTGGTTAAGTTCACGAAGCGTCGTAGTCATCCTGATCCCAGTGAAACGACAATAACAGTGTAAACTGGGTGGAACAGCAATAATTAAGACCGGTGTTCTCGAGAAACATGGGAAACGAAGAGAAGGAAGTAACAAAACCCGAGTGCAGCTTCAAGTTCCACGAGTTTACCGCGAACGTCGGTGACTTGTCGATCGCTTGTCACACGATTAAAATGGAAAACTGTCTTTACGTGTGGATCGGTGGCAAAGAGAACGCGATGGACGATTTGTCATTCGCGATTGGATCGCCGTACGAGAAGGAGCCGCTGACGACGAAAATCATGGGGCCAGTCGCTAATGACTTTTCGAGCAACCTTGCAAAGAGGCTATCGAAAAAACTATCGGTGGCTGTTTACGTCAGTTTCAATGTACAAGTTGACAATCTTTCCCTGCCTGGCATCGAAAGGAGGCTAAGGGACGAATTCAATTCCCATCCTGAGATTCTCTAATCGAATTTATTACAAATATTGTCTAATGTGTTAAGAATGTGATTGCAGCTTTGCATATTTTTCATCGAACTTAATTATACTCTCATTTTTGTAATAAACACACGAATGTTCGTCTTGTTAAATAAAATGGATTATTCAATATGATACAATCGTTAGTTCAATGATTGTTGATTCACTGAACAAATCATTTCGAATTTACAATCCTGACTTCGTTAGAACAAAATTATAAGCATTTTATCGTAACGAGATTTATCAATAAATTGTAAAAGTAAATTAAATAAAAGTTCGTTTCATGAATTAGCAAGAATATCGCGAAATGTTCGAATACATCGGGAATACAAAGATGCGTCGCAACATTTTGAATTATTCTGGGAATACTTTAAGAAACATGAATAGAAGGTTTTTACTCACCTTACATGCTGTATTATTTGCAAATGAGTCACTAAACAACCGAAAAATTCTAACAATTCTAACTAACAATCGCACTTGTGGCTTCGAACTTTTCTTACACTTTCGTAATGGCTGCCAACCTAAATCCGCTCAATTTATGATTCGCACGTACAACGTAATAAATTTACAATTATTGAATAATCAACTAAATATATATATAAAATACAGATTTATTAGCAATCTTCTTGAAACAATAATACCAAAATTGTTATTCATGTTCGTTCGTTACGTTTGTAACGCAAATTTAATTTCAAACGTTTTACGTCGCAAGGATGGCAGCCTGTCTGGCGGAATGGCGAGCGCGGGAGGACGGGACAGAATAATAAATGATTAATAACTTCAGAAATGAGTAGGTATTCTTAGAAGTCTAATCTTATGAATCTAATTGTTCGCATTTTCAAGTAAATCTGAATTATTACGAAAATATCGTCAAAAGGAGAAAACAAATTTCAGGGCTCAATCGCATATTTCGATTCCGATAAACAATACGTTTCATTCATTGTCAGTAA